ACCTGGTCAGTCGTTTGCCGGTGGTGGACACCGCTCCGCGCAGGCCGTGCGCGTTGCGTTCTGTAGCGTCGCGAAGGCAAAGCCTCCTCTCCCTGGGTGCGGGGCGGGGGGGGGGTCTTCTACCAAAACGTACCGAGCGAATTAAACTGCTCCGTGGTCAGCAGACCATAAAAACTACACCTCATGGCCTAGAGGTTTGGGCAGAGACACTTTATTTTTAATTTTTTTTTTTTAAGTCTTAAAAACCCCACAAGAGGTACTGCTAGCCTTGGATGTGCAATACTGTCAGAGTCCAAAAGTCTTTGATCCAGTTCTTGTAGATATTCCACATGTGGAGCGTGTAATGTTTAATGCCAGATTTACTTACTTGAAGATGCTTGACTTGCCTGGGGTTTTGGTTTAGCGAGAGATTCAGCGATAGACTGACAGCACAATAGAAAGGTACACTTAGCAGAATATAGCGACTGCAAATGCAGTGGAGTCACAACACAAAGGTGAGCCCCATGACCCATCTCCATCACATGCTCGCCGTATCGACGCTGGGCACCCCGACCACCCGGGGAGTACGTGGGCTGAAGCCAGCTCGAGCCCGTTGCTCCCTTCCGAGCTCTCTTGTTAGTCGTTCAGTTTTTGTACCCCGTGTTGGGCTGAGCCAGCACGTGCTCCCCCCATGCTAGTGCAGCTAACTCAGGGAGACATTCACGCTCTTTTGGTGAATTTGGGGGAAAAAACACTTACAGAACCAGTTGACCTATGCAACTGATATAGTCATTTATCTAAAACAAAAGCCACCATCCAGTCCCCCCTGCCCTGAGACAAATTCATCTGTCTTTGCAAAGCTTTGTCAGTCACACCCTACATTTTTCCCCTGAGCTTCATGGACACATCGCCCTTGCCCATCTCCACTGAGCCTTCTTCCGTTGTAGGGGCTTAGTGGTTGTTCACAGCTATGAAGTGCTGAAAACATCCAGAGAGCGCTGATTTCATAAAAGAGAAAAGAACATGCGTAGAAAAGAGTAAGAGATACACCGGGAAAATCTGTTAATAAAATGCAAGGATACAGGTGAGGCTGCTCCTGTGCTCAGACTACCGATTATAACACTGCCTAACATTGCTTTATTATAGTCCAACTTATCTGAGTCTGTGCGCTTTCTCCACCCACCCTGGTTAGCTTGTAGCCTCTTTTGGGCAGAAACTTTCCAGTTACAGGCATAGATTTACCTTCAACGAGGTCTTAGGGGTCCGTAGTTCTGCCTCTGCTGTCCCTGCTCATCTGGCTCAAGTACTTTGATCATACGTCCCAATTGTGCTGTAGGACTGCACAACGCCTTCTTCACAGAAGAGGAGATGGCAATAGGGTCCTGAGCAATGACAGTTTTAGAAGAGGACTGTAATATAATGTAAAAGTTATGAAGTTATTATAAAAGGACACCCAGGATTGTGCTGAAATACTGGGACAAAATTCTACACAGTGAACTTTTATCTTTGGTGTTTTCTGCTGTGGTGCATCATGGAACAGGATTCAAGAAATGATTGGATATTTATCTAGAAAATATCAGTATCTAGAAAAGATTAAAAATATAAATGAGTTTGGGAAGTGATATGAACGCTCCTGCTTCAGGGCAAAAAAAAAAAAGTCTCTTTCAGCCTAATGGCATTAGGATGAAATTTTCCTTATGGACAGACCATTCCATGTGTAGGATCTTTAGTTTCTCCTTTTTCCAAAGCAGGTAGTACTAGTCAATGCTGGAGATGAGATCTGGTAGAGACATACCTTTGATCTTGTCCCATACAGAAGTCCCTGTAATTAAATCCTAAGGATATTTATCTTTCTCTAGTTTAACTATTAGAGGACTTCCTCCTCCTCCTCCAGTCAGCTAAGGTCATAGTCAAAATAGGTAAGTTTCAGAGAGGCTTACCAATGGCCTTGCACGAGGTGATTTTGGCAAGTTCAGTTTTTGTTACAGCCTCTGCTGTCAGAGATAAAGCGTTGTTAACCCACAAGCAGATCTGAATGGAATTGGATGCAATGGAATTATTTGGCTTCCATTACGTTTCTTGGACATACCAAAGAGAACTAGTGCCCTTTTACTATAAGGATCTTCATAGGCAAAGTCTCCTAAATTAGCATTATTTCCATACATCAAAACCACATAACTAGGAAAAAGTGTTAACCTCAGAGTTATACCCTACAATGCCAGTAATATGCTAATAATATATATAAGATGGAGTTGAATCTGGGATGGCTTGCATCCACATAGGAACATGACCCCTGGCACTTCCCATTGTCTAAACTGCACTCATGCCTCTGGCCAGATGATCTTTTCCTAGACCCAGGGCAGGGTCTGTATACAAAACAACATATATGAATAAATATATACAAATGAAAATGATATGACTGTGATCCTGGGGCATAATGGAGGATGCACCAACATGGCAAAGATACCATGAATGTTTCCTTGTACCTTATTTCAATACTATGATGCTGGTCACCGGAGTTTAAACTCTGCCATCTGTGCATATGGCTCAATATGTACTCTGTTACATATCTTAAGCTCTTTAGCAGGATTTTCACACAAAGACAAGCTCTATTTTTTTTTTTTTTTGTATTAAAGAGATCTGTCCTAATCCAGAAATTATGGAGGCCCAGCAGAAGGTATATTTTATGCTTTCAGGAGAGAAAGGCCCTTTCCTTAACCAAGTAATTGACTAGACTAGCTTTGTGAGTGAATTTGCAATGCTGAAGAGAAAGTTTTAAGTCCCTTTTGAAGGTTTGTTTCCTTAATATAGATTCATTTTCTTAAGAGCTTTGTTTATTTTTCTTTCACACAGACTTGAAAGAACAACAAAAGAATTATCTGAGTGTACAATATTTACTTGCTAGCAACAGCAGAGTGCCAGCTCACACATACCTTGCCTTCAGCTAACCTTTCTCTAAAATTCCCTGTGTGGGGGAGCAAGGCTAAGATCCAACTCTTATCAGGAAAGGAGGGAAGTTAGGGCTGAACGGAGCAGACAACAAATCAGATTTAAGTCGGTGGAGGGCTGGACCCTTTGGTATGATAAGGGGAAATACCCTAGAAAGCTAGACAGCTGCTGCATTGGCATACAACAGCTAATATGTCTCCTCTGGACTTCTCCCATGTCCAGCGGAAAACACAGCTGCAGTTAATTTGTATTACCCTTCTCCCCTGCGTGCTCAGCCCTCTCTGCCAGCCTGACAGGGAATTTGAGAGGCAATCACGCATGCTGGGGAAGCTCCCAACGGCAGGGCTGTTCCGAAAGTATTTGGCTAAGACTGTTGGAAGTCAAGGCTGCAAGAAAGCTGAGAAGCAGGTGGCAGTGAGGAGCTCAATTAGTTTATGAGGTGAAATTTCAGCATTCTTTTCCAATACATCATGCTATCCAAATGCCTGCTATCCCTCACAAAACAAGAGATGCGTGCAAGTTTTGTCTTATGTCAATAACACTCTAACATGGAGAAAAGATTTGGACTCAGCTTTCATTGCTGGGGTATTTTGCTTGTTTTTGACTTTTTAAACTACCTTTACGTTGTTAACAGACTACTCTCAACAATTGCAGCAAGGCGTTCAGGTACCTAGTTGTTCCTTAAACTGCTCTAAACACTTCACCCTCGTCTCTGTGTGTCATAGGCCCCATCCTGCGCTTCTCGCTCATGAGGCAGAATGCTCATTACTTGCAACAAAGCAGAGAGAGCGTCAGAATCAGAGGCATCATTTATACTTTTTTTTTTTTTAAAGACTGAATTAACCTAGGAATCAGTCATTTTTCACTAACATGCAGCTTACGTAGTACAAACAAACGTAGTACAGTATGTTGCCAGCTGATTAAATAATAAAAAAATAGGGAATTGAATAATCAAAAAGTACTTCTGTCTTTAGATAGAAGATACGGCCAGTCATCTGGCTACTTAACCTCTCCCTTACTGTTGCCAAGTACTCTATAGATCTCCTATTGTTATAAAAAAAGCTACTGATCTGTTTAGTGATGGCTTCTGTTTATATCAATGAAAGAAAAGTTGGCAGCATTTACAGGCCTAAACATAAGATAGTTTTGCTTACCCTAACTGGGGAACTGTTCTTGATGTATATTTTGATATCTGGAAACCAGTATACCAACCAAGCATACAGAGCAATTACTGCTTCTTAGTTTAACAGTGTTAGAAAAATCAGATCTCAGTCTCTCATGAACATGATTCCAAATAATATCTGACCTAGCTGGCAACACATAGGTCAAATTTTAACACCACAGGACACAATTTATTTGCAGTTAAATTTAAATGATCAATAAAACAGCTTAAATGGTGTTGATCATTACTGTAATAGCATAAAATCATTTATTACCTTTCTGAAAGGCAGTGAAGTCTTGCAGTTAAAATGGAGAACTAGAAATTAGGAGAGTTGGTAGCTGAAAGCTTCAAACCACTGCATGGCTACAGGTAAGTCATTTAGTCTTCTAGGTGTCAATTTCCCACCTATAAAACATACAGAATATTTGCCACT